ATATATTTCAAAAAATACACCAAGCAGACAAATAAAATGTGTCTATTGTTTGGGTGAGACATATCGACTCTCACTGCTGAAATCACAAATGGACAGCATTATAAAACTCACTTAAATATTTCAAAAAAGAAAGAACAGTTTAATACCCAAAAAATGAAGGACAGAATTTCAGAATAAAAGATAAACATTAAAAACAGTGTTTTTCAAACTTTTTAGAAAAATTATACATTTTATATCATGTCCCAACACACAAACACCCACAAACTGGAATAAAAATTTAACAAAATATTTACCCTTACTATATGTGATGCATGACAGTTTCTATTATTTCTTTAAAAAACATTGGTCCCATTTCACAAGTTGCCCCCTACAGCTTGAAAAACACTGTTTTAAATTGTATACATCCTTTAATTTAATATACTGAACTAAATTTTAGAAAAATTCATTTCAATGACCTGAATTTTCCACATTTTACCACAGACCAGTTAAAACTTTGTCAAGGACCTTGAGAATCAATAACCAGGAGATCTGGCTAAAAGAGGCCTGAGGTGAATCCTTTTGTTAGGTCAAAGATCTTTTTATTAAGCAAACAATTATTCTCTAGCTTCCTTTTTAGGTTGAGATGTTCATACGCTAAGCCATTGGGAGTAGGTAGGTCAACAGTGCCCCCATAAATGCAGTGATATATGAGGAGGCTTTCTTGACTTGTGCCAACAGTAATTCTCTTCTAGTAATTCTCTAGAAGCCCTAGGGAGGAAAAAACCCACCTCCTCTAAGGACTGTCTTTCATAGGAAAGCAAAAAGAGGGAGGGAAGGAAAAGCAGATCTGGCACTTGGGTCTGTGGTGATAGGGGAGGTACTGACAGGTAAAAGCAGCTTTCCCACTGCAGTAGTAGGAGGAAAGCTTATCTTCCCAGCCAGCCTTTTGGCAGGCAAAGAGCCCAGAGAGGATCACTGCAGTTGTTCATTTCCAGGCATGAAGAATGCAGCTGCAGACAATCAGCAGGTACACTGTGGTGCAGGTGGAAAGCTCCCAGTCTCGGGACGCTGAGCTCACTGGCAAAAGTACCGTACCATCAGAGCCTTTTTGTGATGGAAGACTTCATAGGTGGAGAACAGACTGCAACTTCAGAAGCGAGATAGAGGCAGAGACTGTTTTATTTCCCTCGTAGAACATTTCGTTCTGAAATTATTTATTTACTCAAAATTTGTCTGTCTCCCCAACCCTACTGGAATGATAGCTCCACAAGGGCAAAGACCTTCTCTTGTTCACTGGTATAACCCTAGCACCTAAAACAGTGCTTGGCATATAGAAAGGCTGCAATAAATAACTGTTGAATTAATGAACGACTCATCCCCCAAAAAACGTTTGAGCGAGAACAATGTCTCTGCGGGGGAAGAAGGCACAGGGTGCCCTAGAAGACCAGATTAGTATTTGAGGTAGGGAGGGAGGCCACATGGTGGGTGTGATCTAACAAAGCAGGAGGGCTGAGCTCTGCCTCTGTAAGGTGGTGACTTTGGCCAGTCTTTTCACCTCCTCCACTTCTGTCTTTAAAAAAAATAGATGGATTCCTACTCTGCCTATATCAAAATGGAAAGTATACAAGAGATCACTTTGGAGACTGAAATGCTATTCAAACGGTAAACCGATCTGGGACGCCAAAGACGTGGCTTCTAGTACCAGCACTGCCACTTGATGATGAAGATGATGATGATGATGACGGCAATACAGCAATTACATGCACTGTGCCTGCGTTGTGCTAAACATATATTCAATTATCTCATTTTGACTTTATCGCAATCTTCCGAGGTAGGCAGTGTTAACCCCATTTTACAGATGAAGAAACTGGAGCTCAGAGAGGTTCAGTAATCTGCCAGAAGTCACACAGATAGAAAATGGAAGGGCTGGAATTCAAAACCTGGGCTGACTGACTCCAAAGCTTGGTGCTCTTGGCCACTCACTATGCCAGATGTCTGATCTTGGGCAAGTTACTTCTGTCTCTTTTAAGTCTGTAAAATGAAAGAGCTAAGCCAGATTATCTCTTACAGACCCTTCCACATCTGACATTTTGCTGTCTATTCTGATTCCCGCTCAGATCCAGCCGATGGAAACTGCCTGGATGAGGGTGTGGGGAAGTCCTTCCGTCTTTTTCGTTAGGATTTCTTTTTTCAGAAAAGGACAAAGCGGTCGAAACATGCATACCCTTATCTGTGTCCTGGGCCAGTTCCCTCCAAATAGCCACTCCAGTCTTGCCCCATCTGAATCCTGTCTCATTTAACCCTTTGTGGGGGCGGGGGGACCTGATATCCGCAGAAGGCGCTCCCTGAACGGCCTAACACAGGAGGAAGGGGATGGAAGGGGAAGGACACAGGTCCGGGCCAATCTGGACCAGCCCTGGGGTCCGGGGCAGGCGGTCCGGGAGCGCGGCTGCCCCACTCGCCGACCCTTGTCTCCCGCGGCTGAGCTCAGGCCGGCCACTCAACCTCCCCGCGCCTGTTCCCTCTGTAAAGTGGGATCCGAATTCCTGCTTCGAGGGGCTGCGGCGATTAAGTGAGATAAATATTTGGAATGCATCTGGTACGCTCCAAAGCGCGCTCCATCTTCGCGCCCCCGGGGAAAGGCCAGAGGGCTAGAAAGCCCCCGACCCGCGACAGGTGACGTGCGGAGAACAGTCAGGGCTGCAGAGCCCAGCGTCCGGTCGCGGCGGACCCTGCAGACGCCCGCTCCGGGGGGCGGCCTGGGGCGCGCCGGGGTCTCCGGGCCGAGGCCGAATCACCTCAGCCGCCGCTTCCTGCCCGCGGGTGTCTCCGGCCCCAACCGAAGTTCCCCGGAGCCCTCACCTCTGACTCCCGCCGCTGGCTTCGGAACGCTTCTCGGCCCTTGGCGGCCGCCTGCTTTCCTTTGCTGCCGCCGTTGCCGTTACCATTGCCGTTGCCGTTGGCGGGCGGGACGCCGGCCCCGGGCACCGCGGGGTCTTCCATGCAGCGGGCAGCAGCTCCCCTCAGGGCTCAGCGCGCTCTGCCTGGGGCGACCCAGCCGCCGCGCGCCCGTAGCCTGGGCCCGCCCCCTCTGCCGCTATTGGCTCCAACCGATCTCCGCAGCCCCGCCTCGCGACGCGATTGGCTGCTCGACCGGCCGGAGCGGGATCGAAGAGGTGGGGGCTTGTTCAAGGGATTTTAAAAAAATCTTTCTTTTTAGTCCTGCAGCGTTGCTGGTAGCCCAAAACTCCTAGACTGGCTCCCGGCTCCACCTGCCGAATGCTGGGCCTTGAGCTCAAGCGGGTTATCTCTGCCTCTCGCTCGGTCTCTCAGCACTCACCCCTGCCCCAATGGCGACCTTTTCCAGGAGCTCTAGTCTCCGCCTCCGGCTCCTGCGGTCTGGGTTTCCCCATTACCACCGACCCGGACCCCCAAATCCCGGCTCCTGCACACGTCCCACATCCCACTTAGACACAGGGGAGGGATGGCACCGCCAGGTGACCAGGACACCGCAGGAAGCGAGGGACTCATCCTCTCCGGAAGCCGAGATTTCTGAAGGGAACGCATCTCGCTCGGAGTGGGGGCTTGGCTGGGAGACGGGGTTGCGGGGTGGGATGAGGGCGTTTTTACTTCACTGAAATTGCTGATGCCCCCGAGGGCTGCTTCTGGTCATCTGCCCTTCTCTGCTGTAGTAGGCGCCTTCCTCGTGGGGTGAGCTGGGGGTAAATGTTGAATGAGGATCAAGTCCCCACCCTGACTCGCTTCCCGGTCCTTTCCTTCCTTCCTCTCTCCTTTCTGAGATACTTCCTAAGGCCTCAGTGTTAACCCGGGGCTTAAGAGGCTGTTTGGTCTGTCCTCTCTTGAATTTATCTAAAAAGCAGCTGGCAGTAAATATTTAAATAGTCTGGTTGGTCGGGTGCGGTGGCTCACGCCTGTAATCCTAGCACTCTGGGAGGCCGAGGCGGGTGGATTGTTTGAGCTCAGGAGTTCGAAACCAGCCTGAGCAAGAGCGAGACCCCGTCTCTACTAAAAATAGAAAGAAATTAATCGGGTAACTAAAACTACATAGAAAAAAATTGGCCGGGCATGGTGGAGCATGCCTGTAGTCCCAGCTACTCGGGAGGCTGAGGCAGAAGGATTGCTTGAGCCCAGGAGTTTGAGGTTGCTGTGAGCTAGGCTGACACCACGGCACTCTAGCCTGGGCAACACAGTGAGACTCTGTCTCAAAACAAAACAAAACAAAACAACAACAACAAAAAGTCTGGCTTGTTACTAGAAGCCCCAAACAAGTAAGCTGAGGGGAATGGGTAGTACCAAATTGCTACCCATAGCCTGGTTGCTTTAGGACGGGTATTGGGGGGATTGTTGAACTGTGCTTTGTGCCAGGCATTGCACTAGGCACTTTCCTGATAATCGTACCTCTCTCTGACAGGTTATTTTCACTAACCCAATATACTGATGAGGAAACCAGGACTCACAGATTAATCTTTGCAATTCCTAAGGTATCATATTCTGTCTCAGTGCCTTGCATATGCTGTTCTCTGGAGGAATCTTTCTTCTCTTCTCTTGGTTTGACTTTTTCTTTCTTAAAGATTCTAGTTAGTTATCACCTCCTCCTCCTCCAGAAAGCCTTCCTTTTGACCTTCCTCAACCCATTCAGGCTATGTTGGTGTCAAGCCAACTCCACCTGGATCCAAAATCCTAACATTTTACACTACATATCCAAAGCAATTACTCCCCCTTCCCATATCTTAGGGACAACTCTGTCCCTTTCTGACCATATCTTCCCCTCATGCTTCCCTCTACTAGTTGGTAGATGACAGAACAAGGCAGGCTTGAGCGCACTCCTTGGAGCTTTCTGGGTTCCTTTCTCTCCCTGGGCCCCAACATCTCTTACTGTACCCACCCATCTTCCCTTTCCTCTCCCATTCCCATTTTTAACCCAAACTGGATACAGGCTCCTTGAGAGTAGGACCAAATTTCACTCATTTTTGTATGTCTCATTTATGTGTAACACAGGGTTTCACAATCTCTGTACTATTGACATTTGTGGCTGAAAAATTGCTTATGGGGGGTCTGTCCTGTGTATTGTAGGATGTTTAGCAGAATTCCTTGGTCTCTACCCACTAGATGCCAGTAGTACCCTCCCCCTAGTTGTGACAACCAAAACTTTCTCCAGATACTGTAAAATGTCCCCTGGGAGGCAAAATCTCCAGTTCAGATTCACTAGTTTACTGATTGAATTGATACGAATTTCCAAGAAAGTCCCTGGCTCAAGGCCTAACCTATTTGATTTTGGAATTTTTTCAGGGTATAATTTGTTAAACTCTCAAAAATTTACACCCTGCTTTAAAATTCACAAACCCCGCCTAGCTCATCCCTGCTTCTGTGTGGTAAACCTGCCACAGCACAGCCCATTGGGGTTTCTTAATAAAAAGAATTCATTATTCTACCTTTCTTCTTCTCAATACTCCCTCTAAGCAGTCAGATCCCTAGGACTGACAAGCCCAGAACTTCATATTCTTTTGTAAGCCTGGTTAATCAGCAGGATCCCAACAGTGGTGGCAGACAAGAGTGGCCAGTGTTGAGAGGCTTTGATCCGTTCCCTGCCTATCCCTAGGGCAAAGGGCAGAGACTGATCCTCAATTAGGAGTAAGAGGGAGGACAGCTCTCAAGTGCCCTCTGGCCTCCATCTAAAGCCAATTGCTGAGCCTAGAGCTCCATCTGGCTTTACTTTCAAAGAAGAAATTTAAAAAAATTGGTGCTCTGGAGACCAAAAAATCATACGGAGAGAACTCAATCCATTATCTTTTCCACACTCCAGTGGAATGGAAGAGTGTAAAGATCAGACATCTGCTCATTATGGGTCCAGATATTCAGAACTTGTCACGAGGAGGAAGATATCTGGAAACAACTGGAAGAAGTTGCAGAAACTGCAGATTGACTGAAAACTTTGAAACTACAGGCCGTGACATTGGCACAGGCTCAATTTCTTTTAGCTTATTTATCAGCAAAGGAGTGACAGTCATCAATACCACTGACCACAGAAGCATCCATAAGGCACTCAGACCTGGGAGCTAGTCAGGGCTGGTCTATAAGTCTTTCCAGCCTGCAGAGATGGCTCTAGTCCTATTATTTCTAAAGTTATTAAAAAAAACCTACGCTACCAATTTCTCTTGTCTCAGAACTCAGGTTTTCTCCAAAACTCAGGCAGAAGGCTGCAGGTATAAATATGTATAAGGATCAAACATACCATTTTCCCCATATAAACATTCTACTTTAACCCATGGAGGTCAGATATTTGATTAAATAGATAGCATCTGGCACTGAGAAAGCTTAAAAATAAGATGCAGGAAGTGTTAAAGTACCTGCTTTTTGAGGCTATCAAGCAGCTAGGATAATATAGTAGAAAAAGAATAAAACACCCTCCTCTCCCCATAAAGGGCATGTGTGGGTGTAGTGATGCAATGGAGGCTGTAGGGCCAGAATGAGACGAAGAATTGATGTTTATGCAGTCAGCAGTGTGTGCCAGGCTCTGTAAGCAGCACTTTTTATACATCAGGTCATTAAATCCTTACCCTTACCCAAAAGATAAGCATTACCCACTTCACAGACAAGGAAACTGAGGCTCTGAGTGGTTATATAATTCGGCCAAGTTATACAACTTGTAAATTGCAGAGCTGGGATTCAAACCCAAGTTAGCCCGATTCAAAGTCCAAGTTCTTTCAACAATACTGTGAGGTGGAGCAATTTGCACAGCAGTGGGCAGCCTGAGCTTACCCGTGAATCTGAAACTAAGACCAAGGCACCTGAGGCTCCATCCTTCACAAAAGAGAAGTCAAGCTCTACTGTAGGGAATAAACTCACAGGCTTCATTCCTAGCTGCTGCATTCTCCCCCTCTTAACTGAAACGGCATCAGCTTTGAGCATTACCAACTGCCCAGACTATTCTAGCCCTGTGATCCATAGTCTAAATAAATAGAAGTCAAAATGGTAGAAGATTCTGCTAAAGAAAGAAAACATCTTGCAACAGGATGCAGAACTAGTTTAGGGTGTCCACTAAAGAAGGTGGCTATCAGAAACCTACCCAAAGATGGCTACCTTACTGGTAGCTGAGAAAGAACAGGCAGTTGGATTCATCCTCTGATTACTGATTTAGTCAGGCAACATGATTCACAGACAAACTTCTGCCTAATTCATTTTCTTCCTTTTGGCCGAATACATTCAGGTCCTGGGTGTCAGAGACCTTTGGTCTCAAACTGTGGGGATGCTGACTTCCTGAGCTCTCCAGCTAAGGGCAGCACACAGAGGCACACAGAGGGGATCTAGAACCACGCTTTAGCTTCTCTGCCTTAACCCTACAGTTCCTCAGCTCCCCAGGGTGGGTCTGAGAAAGCAGGTTCCTTACGCACACAGGCAAGGTGTATGGGGGCAGGGGAGCAGGGAGACAAGATATTTATCAGCAAGGCTAAGGGTAGTCAAATATGCCTACTATTAACTGCTTCTGCTTTCCACGTCCTTGCCCTACAGCAGGCTCTCTAGGTTGTTGCCCGGAGACCTCTCTCATCTCTGAATTCCTGGTTCACAGAAGCAAGGAATCCTCTTAAGACAAGCATCCATTTTAAGAATATTTTATTTGTCTTTTGAGATTACACAGTCATTATTGCTGATCTAATACAATCACTTAGACATAACGATTTCCAAGAGCTTCTTAGAAATGGTGATCTTAGAGGTTTTATTCCTTTCAGTAAGATGGCAGAACTAGATGATTACTGATATATATACGTATATATAGTTTAGAACTTATCCACATATAATTTGCTGGTGTTTCCTATTTTCCTTCCGTAATTTTCCTTTATTAAAAAAGCTTAATGCAATAATTTTGCATTTTGATTCCTTTTTTCTTTTAAACCATGACAAAGTTAATTTTGAGAAAACCACAGGAGCAGCAATTTCAGATCTGTTTAGAGAAAAGCCAAGCAGCAAAAAAGCTTTGCAGGAGTGTATGGCCGTGGGAGCCGTGCTCATATGGGAAGGTAGGATGGGGAGGCAGGAGGGCAGAGGGAAGGTGGACTAGATACAATTTTTTTTAATGAGAAAAAGAGAACTATTTCCATTAAGAAGGCAAAAAAGACCTTGAAAACTAGCACAAATTCCTTGTAGAGAAAATGGTATGTATCCTCACAGGCAAGGGCCACATACAAAGAGATAATTAGCCTTCTTTCCTATGCTTCCAGATAGCTAGGATGCATCTAAGGTGAGAGGCTGGAGGAAAGAAGACACATCTGCTCTGATTCCAAAGGTAGAGGGAATAATGACCAGATTTCCAACACTAAGATAGAACCCAAATATGCGGGAAACCTGGCCTCCCTCTTCTTACTGGTCGATGACACAGGGTTCCCAGAGAGTGAGGAAGAGAGGTCACCTGAAATGCAGAGGCAAATACCTCACCATGGGCAGCAGCACTGGCAACCTAACTGAGAAGCCCAGTGTGGCTCCTTTTTTATTTGGAATGGGTCTCTTCACTGTGGCAAGGCAGAGTGTACTCTATAAATACCAGCACACAATAAGCTCCATGGAGAGCAAGGCTTTGCTGAGAATCAGCAGGTTATGATTTTTGGTCTAGGAACGTAATAGGCTAGAGTCCATATACCTGCCGAATGGAATCTGCTCTGGATATAAAATGAGGTACCAGGATCTGAATCTTTTACTAAAGGGATCCAATTAATACAAAAATCAGAACTGCGTAGGCAAAAGAAAGAACTGAGTGGCTTAGTGGGATTCTCAGCATTTATAATCTTCCTTATAAAAAAGAATATAGCCACATATGTAGCACTTCTCCATACTTGCTGAGACATATGGCCTCTGAAGAACTGGACTGAGTGGGCAGAGCCTGTATATTATTTAATGAGGCAAACAGCCATTTACTCAAGTTCCACCTCCCTACCTCCAAAACTAAGGTCACTTCCAGATGAGCTCTGAGGGCATATGTGAAGACTAGGGGAAGTTGGAGAGAGTAAAGGTAGGGGAAGAGAATCAGGACGGGAAAGTTATAGTGATCACGGATGATATGGTGTTTCCTTGAGTCACCTTGGTCTTGAGACTTTGAGGCAGATCAGCATAGGAAAAAAATGGGAAACAAACAGAGTGTTAAATAGGGTCAGTAGGGGGAAGAGGGCCTTATTTTATTCAATATTCCTAGGGTCACTCCAGACTTTAACTCTTAGAACTAATCTGCTCCCAATGGAACCCCTGAGACCAGTATGTCACTATCCAAAAGAAATCCAATTTTTGGGTGGGACATAAAATTTCATGCAGCTCACATTACTAATTGTTTGTAATGTTGGAGTTACTCAATAAACTATTCTGTATTCTCTGAAATACAAAACCCTTAAATAGAAGAGGTCAAATCATAAAAGATAAGCCATCAAAGAAAGACCACAGATCAGATTGCAGACCTCAGTTTCATCAATGGAAATAGCCAAAGGGATGAATTTCTGATGAGGTTCAAACTAGTCAAACTAGCTTTGATCATCTGGATACAGTTTACAGTGTCATCTCTGCATCCCTCGGCCAGTCAAGCTGCAAAAGCCTTCCTGGGAGACAAATGAATACACTGTTTCTTTAGGGTGTCATGCTGTGGGCCTGAACGACCTGTCCCAAAAAAGCCTTAAGCCCCTAAATCCCTGGGAAAGTATGCCTTTCCCTACTCACTTTCAGAAGTAGTTTTAGGCAACGGCAGGAACTTTCAGGAAGCACTGTTTTACCACAAGCCCTCCTTTCTGAGACAGCACCAATCTGGAGGGGGATTCCTAGGAAATTATCCAGTTAAATGACAAGGAAGTAAAACTATGGGTACCAGTGGATATGGTCCCCACTTCCTGAGCAGAGGTTAGCTGGGTTAGAAAGACGACAAAATAAGTGTCTGACAAACACCAGAGCTGTGGAGGAAATATGGAGGCACATTCCTCTTGGAACCAGAAAGCATTAAAATGGACATAAATATTCAAGAAGAAAGGAATGCCGGGTAAGGAAGGAGACCCCCAACAGGCACAGCACAGCTGAGTTCTTGGTGTAGCTTGCCAAAGCCATAAATAACACTCCTTCCTTACTAGCCTTTGTATAAAGAAGGCAGTGATAGTGATGGTCAAGGCTGTGTTAATTCAGAGGCTTCCAAAAGGCCTCACCTGGGGAAGGGCCAAAGCTGAGAAAGGCAGCTACTGACAATTTATTCCAAAAAACCCCAAGGAACAAGGAGTCTGGAATCCCTGGACTAACTCCTAAGCCTGAACAAGAGAAAAATGGCCACTGCTGAGGATTCAGAGTACACAGGGAATAATGCGAATGATGCACTGGGAGCAGTTACCCCATGTCTTTCCTTCCTCAGCCTGTCCTCTGTGACTCTCATGGCCCTCAGGGCAGTAACCACACTCTGGGCCAAAGCTACAGGCACAGAATTCTAGATTTTAATAAATAAATAACCTAACACATAAGGTGAGCACGGCGGACAGCTCTGATTGGAGAAGCAGCTTGCTGAATTCTTTCTTGTATAGTAGTGGAGAAAAGGCTTGGAGTTCTATTCCTTAAAACTTCTGGCTTGAGTTACAGGAACTTAATACCTGGAGGGAAAAAGAAAGATGAGACCGTGATGTTATCAGCTAGTGGGGATGCTGGGACATGAAGGTGCCTAAAGGTGAAATGGGTAGGCAGGAACTTTTCTGGAGTATATGGTAAGGGTAGATAATTGTGTCCCCTTTTCACATCAGTGAAAAAGGCCAGTATTTGTTCATAAAGAGATAAAAAAACCATAGCAAGATGAAATGGAGAAAGGCAAATTCAGGAAGGGGAATACTATCCAAGGCCTCAAAGAGTCCTTTGGGGGTGACAGTAAGAGGGGGGTGAGTTTATTTTTCTGAGTTCTTGTAAATATATATGGTTGGAATACAAAGACCAATTCTAGTGCAGGAAGCTCTTCTCTACCCAGGTGTCCCTGATTTGGACGATGCCCAAGTCACCTGTAGTAATTAGGCTTGAAGGGCCCATTTTTGTTGAGTCCCAGATACTTGGCCTGTTCATCTGTCAGCTCTGTCAGGTGGGCATCAAAGGTGGGCAGGTGTAGGCTCGCCACATACTCGTCTGGAATAAAACACAGAAGCCCCGGTATAAGCATTCATGCCTCCTATCTGGCTCCCAAGCTAGGTCTTAAAAAGTTGGAAGTAACTGTCCAATACCTGGAGCTGAATGAAAAATGCTCAACTTTTGCTCACTGGTCCTCAATTTTAAGGAATGGTTGCCATTAGCTTCAAGACCAGTGCTATTCAACGCTATAACATTTCTTCTATAACATTTCTAACTCTTTCAGCCTTGAACCTTTCCTTATCCCAGAAAGGTGAGGGAGAGATGAAAGAAGCAATAGGCCTCAGGATCTAAAAGAAAGAATGGGATAGCAGGGGGACTAAAGAATTTTAAGCTGCAACTTGAATTTTGTCTTGGACTCTATACTTTGCATCATTTAGAAAAACTAACACCTGGGGAAATTGGAAAGACATAACTAAGAAGATGCTACACTGTTTGCTTTGCTTTTAGTACTCTTAGTTCTTATGTGTTTCTGCTCATGTTCTATTATCTGAACACATAGTATTTATTCATAATTATATATCATTTCTCATGTATCTGTATGGTCTCCCCAACTTCATTACACATTCAGTCAGAATATGGACTGCTCTGTTTCTTCTATATCCTTCCAAAGTGTCTATTAAAGGGAAAATACATGAACTTTTAAAAGTTGTTATGCACCTAGTGCTAAAGCAAAACAAAACCAGAAGCTGATCTATTCCCTGATCTTTGCCTGAGGAGTTTGTAGACACACTGCATCAGTCAGGTGCTTGAGGCAGGCTCTTTAAAAATTTAACACAGTTTAATGTTTCTCTTATACAAAACACCCACATAGAAGCTATTCAGAGTCTGTCCTTTGGCCTGAAACAACAGGGTTAGCCTTAGAGGGTATAGCAAGAGGCCAGGTGCAGCAGCTCATGCCTGTAATCCCAGCACTTTGAAAGGCGTAGGCAGGAGGATTACTTGAGACCAGAGGTTTGAGACCAGACTAGGCAACACAGTGAGATCCTGTCTCTTCAAAAAATAAGTATTGGTCAGGGGTGGTGGTGCTTGCCTGTAGTCCTGACCTAGCTACTTGGGAGGCTGAAGCAGGAGGATTGCTTGAGCCTGGGTGTTGGAGATTGCAGTGAGCTATGATCATGCCACACCACGGCATGGGCAACAGAGTAAGATCCTATCTCACACACACAAAAAAAAAAGTATAGTAAGAAAGTCTCCCATGGTCTGGGAAAGTTTGGTAGGGGCTACTTAGCAGCCTAGAACTGGAATAAGTCAGACGTCATAAGGTAGGAAATGATTCCTCTCTTTTGGGGGAAGATTTTTCTTTCTCCTTTGAGATTCCGGCCTACAAGATATTTTATGAGAGAAAATCCTTAAAATTCACAGGCAGGTAAACTAAATCACAGCAAAATGTCACAACTTCACTGGGACAACCCATGTGGAAAATGGGATGACTGGGAATGGAACCCAGGAATCCTAGCTCCTACTTTACAAGATAAAGAGATCTTTTTTTCCCCTGTCCCTAAGAAAGTTAATCCCCTCAAATTTCCTTTAGCCTCTGACTCTGAACTACTTCGGTGATGACGGGATGGAAGAGCACGTGCTTACCCATTTTCTTGGGCAACAGGTAGACATCCTGCTTATAGCGTCCCTCAGGAGCATTGTAAAGCTCTATCAAGGCGAGAGCCTAGAAAAGCAGAGAGAGGGATGTGGAAGTGCCATTCATGACAATATACTCCATATCAAGTAAAATCAGGCTGGTCCGAGGACCCTCTCCAGCCCACTGCTGCCCCATTCTGGAGGCCTCACCTGAGTAGTAGCAGTGATTGAGAGCACAAATGTAGGCACTGTGGAGCAGCTTAGGTTCAGCAGACGGCCCTAGTGATCAAAGGTGAAGATACAAATGGGGTTAGGACAAAGTTGCTGGCCTTTGAGGAGTGAGGGAAGAGTGTGACCGTCATTTTCCAAACACTTCCCAACTGACATTGCTGGATAAAAAGGTATTCGATAAATAGGAACTGACATTTAACCACTAAAAACGCTGGAAAATTTGATAAGGGTAATAGCTAAAAGACTTCTGGAATTATGTAAAAAGGAATACAGATGGTCACATGACACTGAAACTTATGGCAAAGATGGGTATATTTCTCTTGAATTTTCTACTCTCTCTAGCACAATATCCTCCTTCAGAGGATCAGCATTTTTTGAAAGATTGTCCTAAAATAAGCAACGATCTAGTTAAATCCAGGGGTGATCTCTCCAGGTTGTGAGGGAAGTATTGTTGGATTTAGGAAGCTGTGATGATTTTTGTGCTTCTTCCTCAGTTTGGTTCTCCTGAATTCAAGGCAACCGTATATGCGGAGTAGGTGATTCAGACAGCAGAAGGGCTGGAAACTGCCCCCCATACCACCCTTTCCTATTTTGTTTCCTAGGAAGCCTAATCATCTTTTTTGCTCAACCACATAGCCAAAAACACCTGTGGTGCTTGCTTCTGTCACCAAAATTACTAAGTGGGACCTCCCAAGACAACTAGAAATAAGTTGCCAGACAGTGGGCTGACATCAAAGCTACTAATGCATATTTAACAACCTGCTCATCTCCCCATACACACTCCTTCCTTGTGAAGAAATAGTTCAGTTCGCTTACAGATGCCCTAAAGTATTTGACAAGGTGAGATAAGGTGAGAAAAAGGTGAAGAGAACAGCAAGGACGCTGAAACTTTACGGACCCCTAGATAAAGACAGTATATCTTTCACTTTTCATATTCAGTTTCTTTAATATAAAAAAAGAAAAGAAAAACTGACTGAAAATCAAAACCTGAGAAAAGTATTATCTTCCTTGTTATTTTGATATCTTTCCCTGAAGATGAGAAAGCTTCAAGGCAAGAACAGGGGGCATAGCTGTCAGGAATCCAGGACTAGGGAAGAAGAGCTTTCAAGAAAGGAAAAGAGGTCAAACGTTGACATGGAAGGCTAAGTGAAATGAATGTCAAGAATAAGTGTGAGCTGGAAGAAGCCAGGATGGGGAAATAGCAATCAAGCAACCAATAAATAGGTGGGTAACCTACTACACATCTGGCTCAATTCAAGGGAATGGACACTCAAGAACAGGGACTCTATCAGTAAAGAAATGACTTTCCCACAGCTTGCCCAAGATAGTCTTAGTTACAGTCAGAAATATCTATCTACTTTGTGCTCACTGATTAAACCATCCCACAAATGACATTATCTCTTGTAAGCATCACTCAAAGTGGCATTCGTTCTATCTATGAATTCCTTCTACAGTAACAGTCATTATCTGACTCAACCTGTGAAGTGACATGCAGAGACAGGATAATTGGTGAAAAATGGGGAACCAAAATAGTTTCTTAATTGCTGAAAAGATCTTTCACAATTAGAAGCAAAATCTTCTGGTAAAGTAGTCAAACTTGTACTTAAAAGAAAGAGTTGAAAGTATGGGAGAACATGAGGAGGAGGGACCCTGGTACTGGAGTCTCTCCCGTCATGGGGGAGTATCTTTTGCCAGCCTGTCTTACCTCTGCCAGCAGTACTATCCTCTTGCCATCAGGCCATATCACATGGTCAACTTGGGATCTCACTCGCTCCCAGGTCAGTTCTGGTGTCCGCAGACTCGCCTGGAACACATACAGCAAGCACGTCATCAGCCATGGCAAGTCCCACTTTGGGGACAAAAAGATGTTGAAGGGAGCCATTTCAAATAGCAAGTTGAAAGGAGGAACCAACATGCCAGATGGACAATACCTGTCCTGAGTTGGTTAGGACTGTTCCATTTCAGGGAATTTAATCTTAGGCCCAGCCAGGGAGGGATCACTCAGGATGTCATTCCACAACATATACCGTATGCCCACTCTCACAGTAAAAGGTGCTATGGGAAATACAAAAGAAACCAAAGACATGGTTTCTGCCTTCAAAAAGCTTGCACTTTAGTTGGTAAACAATACATATGTGAGAAGATAAAAAGCTTTTAAAATACTTACAAAGCAACATGCAAACAAGTGCAAATTAATACAGTGCAAACTGAATACGTAAGTGCTGAAGAGACACAGAAAAGAAGGACGATCCAAGCTCAGTGGGATTAGTAAAAGAAGGCTGAATGTCCTAAACAGCATGCTGGGACCCCAGGTTCTGCCCTCATGTCTCGATGTCCCAAGTTCCACCTTCTCAACAATGGTGGTTCACCCTAAAGTTACAGAAGCTTTGTGACCTAAGTGCAAATGTGAGGTAGCCTTTAAAGAAATGCTTAATGGTAGAGTAAAGCTCCCAATGGCTCACCCTCCTTCCATTTCTGTATATTGTATATTCAGAGAACAAGAGAAAAAATGTTAAATTTATTAATGGTAGCAATCAAATAACAGTCACAGGGTATAGACTTAAGACAACAACTTCCTTCTTCCAATAGGTAATGCCTAAAATAGAAAGGGAATTCATACTCCAAAACTACCCACAGGTTTATTTGATAAAACTGAGAAGTTCTTTCAGATGGTAGTTTTCTGACAACTAAAGGGAAACACTTTGGTTACACAATAATCACATACTGAGTATTTACCATATTCTAGGCATTATAATAAAGGATATGAATATAGATAAGACTGTGGATTCCTTTACTGTACTGCGAGCTATTTATGAACAAGAATAGTCCTTTCTTTTCATTTTTGTATTCCCAAAGTCTATCTAAGCATACAGTGGGGTGCTCGATTAATGTTTAGAAATTCATGGTCCCTTGTCTCCTAGGAAGTATCCATCTAGCAGGAAAGACAAACATATAATTATATTTCAGCGTTTTCAGAGCTGCATTAATGGTCTGCACCATTTGTCTATTAGGTAGATGGGAAACAAAATTTCTTGAGATGTCAAGTTTCATAAACTGGTTCGACCTTTAATTTAAAGGGCAATTTGGCAGTAGCTTACAAAATTTTATATGTACCTAATCTTTGACCAATTGGTTTCAACTTTAGGGCTCTATCCTACAGAAACTCTTATTCAAGTTCAGAAATATAACTGCCCAAAAATGTTTAATTTAGCATTATTTGTATTAATAATAGCAAAAAATCTAAATCAACAATCTAAATCTAAATCAATGGCTAAGTAAATCATGACTCCATACAATGGAATATTATGCAACCCTTTAAAAAAAAGTAGATCTGTATCTGTTAACATGAAAACCATTCACTATTGTTAAGTGAAAAAAATCAAGTTGCAGAACAATATAACATCAATTTTATAAATTTTTTACTTCTTGCTTTAAACACATCTACACTGTTTGAATTTTAAACTATGCAATTATTACTTTAAAATTAGAATTTTGAAAAGAAATTTTATAAACACTGTAAATAGAGTTCAGAAAAATTTAAGCAAACTGACCATTTTGAGAAGTTATGGATATACAAGATAAAATCCCTTAGCCAGTGGAAATAGCACCACAGAGGGTAATAACCACATAGAGCCAAGAGATACTCATTGGTAACACTGGCATTTATTGAGATGACAGGATTGTAAAGTATGTCAGGTTTTTAGTGTTTCACACCCATAATCTTCCAGAGGACAAGCAATCTTGGTGACTGTGAGCAAAGACTGACACCAAGATAACAAGAGTCTCCAGTCTTAGGACATATTCCTTGGGAAGAAAGATATGATGGAATCAAAGAAAGGACACTTCTTTTGAACATAAGAAATAATCAATGCTTGGTAGAAGCAGCTTACTAGAGCACTGGAATGGCTACCATGCAGGCAAAAGCCCTGAGGATAAGTTTAAAAGAGGAGTTTGAAGAGAAATTTGGTTAACTTATCTCTACCATTGTTCAGGGAGCTCCAACAATCTGACTATGAAGGTCTATTTGGCAGTGACATTCCTCAAGAGAAGAATGGTTTCCTACCTTACAGCACAGCTTGACAAGAATCTCCCTTAAAGATTCTTCACTGTGATTTACAGTCACTAAGCAATACCAGGAAAAGGGTTCCCTGTGCAGACTACCTTCCCAGACATCCCACCATAAATTAGCCAGTTACTGTGCTTGCAAATTGGTCTCCTATGATTTGGAACAGTGCTTATCAGTTGTTTTTTTTTTTTTCCAGGGAGAACACTGCGGTTCTAATCCTAGTAAAGCATGGCGTTAATAGCAAGTCTCAGGTTAAATCATTCTTTGGCTGGGAAAAACTTTTAAAGCCTGTGTACATAATATTTTAACCACTTGAATTGTGAATCTTACAATCATCCAGACCTTCTATGTGATGCATATGGGTCTGCTCTCAAGAGAGAAGAAACATGTAAAAGAAAGACATGGCCAAAAGGCAGCTCAGAGCATAATCCCTAAAACAGGTTCCCTCAGTACTCACAGCATTAGTATTTCTCAGAAAAAAATGAAGCTTTCTAAATGACCTACTCTTTTGATGAGCTATTCCTTCCTAAATGTGTAGCAGGCAACACCTCAAGTTTAGGTAAAACTACAAATTCTTTCCAAAAAAAAAAACCCCCAAAAATCTTAATTTTTTTTTTTGTAAGAGACAGGGTCTCACTTATTGCCCAGGCTGTTCTCCAACTGCTGGGCTCAAGTGATTCTCCTGCCTCAGCTTCCCGAGTAGCTGGGACTGCATGTGCAAGCTATCGTGACCAGCTCAAAAAAACCTTAAATTTTTGATCACTCAAAATATCTGGGTAAATACTTACCAAATTATTCTGCTACACAGTTTCACCGAGTTCACTTATAGTGATTCTCCTCTTATTCTCACACTCTGCATCCAATCCATTTAGCAAATCCCATTGGTCACAGCATATCATTTCTTATTACCTCCACTGTATGCCCATCTAATCCAAGCCTTCACCTTCTATCAGAAATACTGAAAGAGCCTCCTGTTGTTCCTATCACTACTCAAGTTCTAGAGTGTTTTTTAATACAAAAGCCAGAGTAATTTTGAAAAATCTAAGTCACATTTTGTCACTGGTCTGCTCGAAACCTTCCAATGGCTTCTCTCATATTCTAAATAAAACCTAAAGTCTTTATCATGGCCTATAAAGCTCTATGCAGCCCACTACCTCCTTGAGCTACCTCTTCTTCTCACCCGCTTGCCCAAAGTTCCTCCCCCATGGCTTCTTTTTTCTTCCTCAAACACATTGAGTGGGTGTCTACCTCACCTCAGGGTCTTTTACTGGCCATTGTCTCTGAATAGAAGGCTCAAATGGCTAGCTTCTTCATTTCATTCAGGTTTTTTTCAAATGTCATCTCCTCAAAGAGACTTCCTTGACCACCCTAACTAGAATAGCATCCTCAATGTCCTCACCTTGCTGGCTTTTTCAATAGTAACCACTAACTGACAATAACTGTCTATTACTTGCTTATTGTCTATCTCCCACACTAGAATATAAGCTTAATGAGAGCTGGGATGTGTTCACTGCTATTTCTTCAGCCAATTAGTACTTGGCATAGAGCAGAGCAGGTATTCAATATAAATATGCTAAATAGTGAATGAATATTCTGGTTTCAATTTTAGTTGAATTTGCTGTTTCCTTGAATTTCATTTCACATACCTTGTGACACTACCACCAAAGGTTGAGTAATTTAACTTTCAAAAACCCTTCTGAGCATTTCTCTTTCTGGACCATTTAGCTTAGTCATACACTTTTTGCCAACAAGGACACAAAGAGAAGTGAGAGCTGGCCTGTGGCTCATGTCAGTGGCAGATATGGGGGCAACCTATCAATACCTGCAAAACTAGGTCTAGTCTCAACACAGCAGCCAGGATGATCCTTTTAAATAAAAGTCATTCTTTTAAAACATAAGTCAGGTTGTTATAACCCTACAATGGCTCCTTATTTCTCTCAGAACATAATCCAGAGTTCTTATGATAGGCTATAAGGCCCTGTAAGATCTGGCCTGTTACCTCTCTGACCTCATCTTCCACTATTCCCTGCCCCGTGCTCATTCTACTCCAGGCACATCAGCCACCTTGCTGTTCCTCAAACAGCCTAGGCACACTCCTGCCTGAGAGCCTGTGTACTGGCTTTTCTCTCTTCTTTAAATGCTCTTCACCAAAAAATGCACATAGCTAATTCCTTCAAGCCTGCTCAAACATCACCCTCTTAATAAGGCTCACAATTTGATCTGTGTATTTAAAATTGCCACCCAGTGCTAGATTCCCCTTACCATTCTCTACTTTTTCTGTTTTTTCATGGTGCTTCTGCCTTCTAACATAGTATAAATTTTAGTTAAAATTTATTATGTTTATTGTCTTTCTTTTCACTAAAATATAAGCTCCATGATGGCAGGAATCTTTGCCTGTTTTGTTCACTGACTCTAAGCACCTAGACCAATATCTGGCATATAGCAGTCACACACAAAAAAATATTTGTGATTGAAGGTCAAGAGTCTTCTGGCCTTTATTCTGAGAGATTATTTATGTCTGGGCTGCATTTGAAGGAGAAATTACTATCACAATTTGAAGTTAATCTACAAGTCATGAGGAGGTAATTATAAAAAACGTAGGAAAACAAAACAAAACAAAACTAGACTAGACTAGGAGTCAAAAAACCTGGACTTTGTGTTCTAATTTCATTTTGGATTAATTATATGACTGACAATGTACTTAACTTCATAGTTTTCCAACTGAAAATTAAGAATGAGAATAAATAATGCCTCATGGAATGGTCTAGAGATGAAATGAGGTAAAGTAAAAATATGAAACGTACATGACTGTATCTGGAGTTTTGTTTATTTCAGAGCTGTTTGAGGGTTTAGAAGGGAAAATGCTTTCCCCCCTCCCCTACTCTGAAGATTTCTCATTAGGGCCTATGGCATGACACACATACTTCCCTTTAGGCTTTTCCCCTTTGAAGGCTCTATAAGCAGATTAATCCAGGAAAGGACAATCATATGCTAGACAGTTTTAGAAATACTAATATCTTTGACCATTTAGCAAAGGCGTAGTATGGCACATAAGTGAAACTTAAGGGGGAAAAAAACCCAACTACCAACTAAATTATTCATTATAAGCAAAATCATGGTAAGATAGAGTAATGAGTCAAACACCCAGGGTACAAATAGACTGGTAGGTTGCTTTGCTAGCTATTTTTAATAATAGAAGAATAGAGCACAGAGTTAAAAAGAGAAGCCATATAAAATAGATATTATCCAACAGGCTCTCAATATATCAACTGATCCTTATCTGGCAATGGTGAAACTGAGTCAGAGCAGCCCTCCATGGAGATGAAAGCATGCTTTGCTTGAGCCAGTTACTCAGAGAAAAATACAACTGTGCTAGAAAAATAAAAGTGTTCCAGAAAAATGCCATAAAAATTTAAAACCAGAGTGAAAATCACATTGAGAATTATTTTGGTAAGTCTAAAAAGAAATAAATAACACTAGTAACTATTACTTGGGCAACTTACTAGGACCAAGAGCTATTTTGGATTGGAAAATTTTAGAGTGAATGTAATCAAATTAGAGGACCAAAGTGTAGATTTTCTAGGTATGAGGACCACATGCCACTACACAATGGCACTGCATTGATTTGACACCTACAGACCCAATTACTACAGTTTGGAAAATATGTTAAGAGGAGACCCTAGCCCAGTGAGAGGGAGAGAAAGAAGAAACCATAGCATTTGACAGACACGGTCAATCTTAAGCAACACAACCATCCCAGCACATAGATTTTTCTTCCTTGACTTGTTTCCTTGGACCAATCTACTTATCTCATTTTTATGGTAAAGCCAAACACCCCCAAAATACTGACTACTATACTGATTCACATTAATTGTATTCTTTTTGCAGTTTTGAGTTTATCCTGATTTCAAGCCTCAACATAGAGATAAAATGGTTTACATTGGAAGTAGGTATCAAGCTTGGGAAGAGAAAGATAATAACTTGAAATGATTAAATTAAGATGAAGAGCCATTATAGTATCTATAAGCACAAGCTGTAGGGCAAAAAAGTGAACAGATATGGACAACTCTGCCAGGAAAATTATGTTTAGGATGGCTGGTGACGTTGCTCTTTCCTCTTTCAGTTCGTTTCTTGGGAAGGAGAGGGAAACAAAGCCCCCAATAATGAGCCACTTGATCTTACCACATCAATTTCTGTGTTGGAATGTCCCATGTTACAAACGATGCAGCTATTCTTCATACGATCCAAGTGCTCTCTGGTCACCACATTCTTGTTACCTTAAAAACAGAAATATCCACATGAAAAGCAATAAATGTAGACCCCTACCTCATTCAATATGTAAAAATTAACTCAAAATGGATCATAACCTAAACATTAGAGCTAAACTATAAAACTCGTAGAAGAACACAGGAGTAAATCTTTGTGACCTTGGGTTAGGCAATGGTTTCTTAGATATAACACCTAAAGCACAAGCAACCAAAGAAAAAAGAGACAGATTGGACTAGGTCAATATTAAAAACTTTTGTATGCAAATGATACCACTCAGAAAATGAAGAGACAACCCACAGAATGAGAAAAAAATAATCTGCAAATCATATAACTGATAAATGACTTATATCCAGAATATATAAGGAACTCTTACAACCCAATAATAAGAAGACAATTCAAAAATGAGCAAAGATGAGCTCAGGAATTCGAGATTACAGTGAGTTATGATCAGGCCACTATACTCCAGCCAGGGTGACAGAACAAGACCCTGTCTCTAATTTAAAAAACAAAAAATAGGCCGGCCGCAGTGGCTCACGCCTGTAACCCTAGCACTCTGGGAAGCTGAGGCGGGCGGATCGTTTGAGCTCAGGAGTTCGAGACCAGCCTGAGCAAGAGCGAGACCCCGTCTCTACCAAAAATAGAAAGAAATTAATTGGACAGCTAAAAATATATAGAAAAAATTAGCCGGGCATGGTGGCGCATGCCTGTAGTTCCAGGTACTCGGGAGGCTGAGGCAGTAGGATTGCTTGAGCCCAGGAGTTTGAGGTTGCTGTGAGCTAGGCTGACGCCATGGCACTCTAGCCCGGGCAACAGAGTGAGACTCTGTCTCAAAAAACAAAACAAAACAAAAAAAAACCAACAAAGAATCTGAATAGACATTTCCCCAAAGAAGATGTATTATACAAATGGCCAACAAGTGCATGAAAAGATGCTCAACATCATTAGTCATTAGGGAAATGCAAATCAAAACTACAATGAGATACTACTTTATGCTCATTAGGATGGTGATAATCAAGACAGACAATAACAAGTGTTGGTGAAAATGTGGAGAAATTAGAATGCATATGCATTTTAGTGGGATTGTAAAATGGTGCAGTCACTTTCTAACAATTTGGCAATTCCTCAAAACATTAAAAATACAGTTACCATATGCTTCAGCAATTTCACTCCTAGGTATCCAAGAGAACTGAAAATATATGTCTACATAAAAACTTGTATACAATGTTCATAGTGGCATTATTCCTAATAGCCAAAAAGTGAAAACAACCCAAATGTCCATCAATTGATGAAAGGATAAATAAAATGTGGTTATATAATACAATGAAATATTATTTAGCAATTAAAAGGAATGAGGTACTGATACAAGCTATCACATGGATGGACCTTAAAAACATCATGTTAAATAAAGGAAGCTGGTCACAAAAGATCATACATTGTATGATTCCATTTATGTTAATATAAAATTTCCAGAATAGGCAAAATCTGTAGAGACAGAAAGATTAGTGTATTGCCTAGGGATAGGGGAATGTAGAGGATGGAATAAGGAGTGACTGCTAATAGTATGGGGTTTCTTTTTTGGGGTGATGAAAATGTTCTGGAATTAGATAATAGGATGTTATACAAATTTACTAAAAACCATTGAACTGTAAACTTTAAAAGGGTTAACCATATGGTATGTGAATTATATCTCAATAAAAAATTAGATTGTGGTGATGGTTGTACAACCCTGTCAATTTACTAGAAAACAGTGAACTTAAGTGGGCGAAATATGTAGTATGTGAATTACATGTCAATAAAGCTACTTTTGAAAAAAGATTCAGGGGATTGATGTGAACCAAGAACAGCTTCTTGTGGGTCCTCTTCTCTGCCCCCAGCTCTCCCTGAGGCTACAAATATATATTTTTAAATATTCTGATTTCCCCCCCAAAATAGAATTTTAAAAGAAAACCAGTGTTCCTGTGATTTATGGTTCTACCATAAAAATAAAATAAGTATCTCAGTCTAAAGAAATAGCCATCTTTGTATATTCTTCTCTAAAACTCAAAATCTGCCTCTTTGTGAATTAACACAATAACCTCTCCCACTTTTTCTATCTATGA